CTTCACCTGCCACCTAAACATAGCACTATAGCACGTACCGGAAGCGTCCCAGGGGGGAGTTGAACCCGCGGGGGGGGGGGCCCTACACGTGAAGTTTTCACGTGATTCATGATTCTCGAGGCTGCGAGCCCTTGACTTGCTAAAGCAACAGCAACTCCAGCTAGCTGATGCTAGCTTTCGTGATTAGAAATCTCAAAAACCATGTCGACATGTCCACTTTTAATGGTATCCTGAGGGTGGGGCGTGACATTCGGGAAATTGGATTTGATGAAAGCTCGTGGGCCAGCCCCTTTGTCACAGGAGGACCTTGGACAAAGAGTCATTGGATCAACAATGAGGCATCGATTCATCAACCTGTACGCAATCAAAAGGCATGTGATTCAGGCAGTGCTCTTTGCCAGCTGCCTTCAGCAGCATTTGCAAAGCAAAGATTGGAGCCTCTGCACCGCTACCTCAACTGTTGAGGGCCCGGTTTCACAAAGCTCGGTCAACGCACGTTTGCGCCAAGCTTTGGACAGTCGGTCATGACGTTCAATGAAAAGTCCAGCTTCGCCAGGCTTTCCTTCAAGCCTGAGCCCGACGTGTCATCAAACCACGAGTCATTTGGAGCATGTGAGTTGCGCAATGACGGCTTTACTTGAAGGACACTGAGCAACAAACAACAGAAATCCACCATGTCCTCTCCAAACTCCAACGCACGTTGTTGGGGTTCCTCTAGCTCAATGGTCTTGCGCCACCTTGAAACGGATCAGGGCTGAAGGCTTCGGTGAGGAACAAAATGCTGCAAATGCACCAGCTGGAAACAAAACCTGTGAAAACTATATGCGTGGCAAAGCTGCCTTATTTCCACTTCAGATTCCGCTGAAGAAACGTCTGACTCCGAATCCACCAGGACCGCATCCGCATCGTCATAGCGCCATATGGGCATCTTGGCCTGGGCATCAAGCCGATCAATGAAATGAAAGCTGCATGAAAAACTGAACGCAGAGAAAGAACAGTGACGAAGGAAAGCGAGAGGCACTGTAAACATATCAGTGGGAGCATCAAACTGGAGCCAATTATTTTCCATTTTGCTCGGCAGCATTGGCCTTCAGTCAGTGAGAACATCGCCGCCTTTTGGCTTCGTGATCCATCGGATCCTCTAAGACGTGCTTCTTTGTCATCAGGATCAAGCACAGTGGCCAAAGGTGCAGATGTGAGAAATACTTATGCACCAACTTCGGTGGGTATCCTTTGCCCACAAGTGCGCAGTATTTCGTATACTGGTGCCTAAATTCTTGGTTTGCCCTCAAGGTTGATGGTAGCTCTTGGAGCCTAAGCGGTGGGAGCAGCAAGTCCTCGAACTTCTCGAAGTCAGTGACGACATCAAGGGCCCCTTCACATTTCAACTCGTGCATGTGCACTATCTCCTCTGGAAGTTCAGCTTCTCCAAGCAGAAGATCCATCCCAAAGCACCACGTCTGTGGCGTATCATCCACCTTGCGTTCACCTGAGAGAGAGGGGGGCTGTTAAAATCGGTTGGCGACTTACATTCACATGAAGCACAGGTCAAGGTGTCTCAAATTCAAATGACTCTAAGATGTGGCCCAGTGACGTCCCATCTTCCAAGGAGAAACTGATCCGAACTCTTGGGCCAATATGCTAAGAGCATCCAAGAGTGGGAGTGCAAGCTGAAAATGACTGAAGCAAGGGAAAAAGAAGCTAGACTGACATGTGAACAAAGATTGAGGTGTGGACCGGTTCGATGCCAGTGGCCCACCCGTCTAACGGGTTTGAGCCAGGAGAGAATGAATGAAGCCCGAAAGCTAACAAGAAGACACCTACTCTCAGCAAGACAGTTCTAAATGTACAAAACATATTGGATTAAATATATGAATGGTTTGGTACCGCCATGGTCAGTGAATGAGTGTGGCCGGGAGACGGGGCAACTTCATGCAACTTGCCTTGCTTCTTGTTTTGCTTCAGCAAAGGTACTCACCAATAGTTGCATACATGTACCCCGTGATCCCCATGTATGAACCTAATAGTTTTTGGGTTTTGACGTTGGGGCCACTTCCAAGGTCATCAGTGTGGTGAGCGATCGCTGGGTCGGAGTGAAGTCCTGGCCTTGGCAACTCTGTTTGGGAGTGAACTGGGTGAGTGTCTCCTTTACTGTTAGAATAGAATATGACCATACATCATAAATTGCCAAGGGTTTGCAAGCTATTGGTAGGCGGAAGACGAAGCTACAAGGAGCTCTTGGGAAATGTTATCCAGTCAGTGAAGAAGTTCCAACTTGGGCTGTTGATTGCTTTTCATCCATGAGGGGAAAATTCCTAAGCCCCCTTGTGGCCCCCTTGTGAAAGTTTGGATCCCATCCAAGTTCTAGTTACCAGCATTCACAAAGGGGTCCACATTGGAGGATAGGGGTGCCCATGATCCACTCACTAGGGGACTAAAAACCACCCCGACATGTGAGTCCTGGTAAGTTTGATTCTTTGCATGCATCATGTGTAGTCACCCTCCGAGTCGCGTAACACGGGGTCGGACCCCCAAGTGACGCGGTCGGCGTCGGACCCCAACGGGGCGGTCCATGGGCTCGAATCTCTAGCAGGTTTGAAGCACCAGTCGGGCGTGGTTTTCACCGAGCTTCGGGACAGATGAGAAGAAAGCGAGCTTCGTGAGACCTTCAAACTCAGCTGAGATCTCCCGAGCATCAGTCTCTGGAATCTCCGCCAGCCATTGCCACATCACACGGGGGGTCGCCGTGTTTGTCCAAGTCCTCTCCCTCATAGACCCAAAATGGTTGTTCCGATAGCACATGAGCAGTTCCTGGCAGAAAAGGAATGATCAAAACTGAATGAGGACCACTCCTCCAGCTCAGAGAAGGTAGCCCTGAGAGAAGGCAAGCACAACTGACAATTCTACCAGGACCCTCCTGTCGGGGTGTCCTGGCTGAACTACCCCACACATACCTATAGGCTTCCAAACAGGGCACCCCAACAGGAGAGTCCTGGTACAACATATGATATACACTTGAACCCGTGGTCCGAGGTACTCACTGAGACTCCAAGTAAGTCATGGTATATCGGATGTTTTATGACTGTCCATGACGAATACTGTGCGTGCATGAAACGCTTTGAAACGCAGCTAGCCGCTAGCCTATTCAAATTCGAAAGCTTGACCGGCTTGACCTGCCTTTTCTAGTATATAGAGTCCTTGGCAAAGCAGCTGGTTGTTTTTTGGAAGGCCATTAGATCTATGGTGGCCCGGAAACCTACCGGGTATACCGTATACCTCATCCATTGCCTATAGGGTATACCTCATCAGCAATGGCGTGAGCAGCTCTCAAGACCGCGCTCCCAACTGCTGCTCGTGCTTAGCTTGGTGTTCGTGGGTTTGATCACACAGAGAACCCAAGGCCCAAGGACCGGAGCATAGATGAGCATCGTACCTCTTCAGGTGTCGAAGGTGCTAGGGTCTTCTTTCCGGGTGGGTGCCATGTGGGGGTTGTCCTTGCCTTCTGCGGATATGGTTGGAGGTGTGGGGGGCATGCTGGTGTGTGTCAGCGCTGCCCCAAGAGCTACTACTAGGAGCCATTCCTTCAGACTTTGGCATACAATACATATACCTGAAGAACAGCACCCACACACTCAGCATTCGATGGCAATATGTTCCTATACGACAGGTTCTCATTATTCCCAGCTCATTCCCAAGGCAATATAGTGTCCCAGTGGCATTCAAGTTCCACATCCCCACCTTCAAAAGCTCCCAGTGGGCTCGTTTTGCTCCTTCTTTGCTCCGTCCTTCCGGTCATCTTCTCGCGCCCGGCACCGAGGACCATGGCGCCCGGCCCGGTACGCCACATGACCCGCTGGGCCTCGAAGTCGAAGGACGCCACGGACGACGCACGGCGCCCACCGCACCGTTGGCGCCCGCGCCGCAGAGGCGCGGTGGAGCGTGATGCTCGGGGAGCCCGGAAACTGAAAACATTCCATCTATGGAAGTATTATGGAATATAGACTATATTACACTGACCCCTCAAACCAGAACTATGATGTAGTAGAAACCCTCATCACAGTCCACCTGATCCATTTTGATGCAGCTTGACTTGGATTTGTGCCATTTGAAGAACATGCTCCAGCACTGAACTTGAGAGTCCCAGCCTTTTGCTGACCACCCAGGATCTCAGTTTGGGTCACTTGGAAGAGCCAGGTATATAATATATATAATAGTGGATACATGGATCTTCCAGCTATGTCAGAATTCTGCCTTTTTGGGGTTGTGTCTATTTCTTTTAATGGATGAACCTTTGAAAAGACAACAAATGGGTCGCAGTTGGAAGATCCAGGTGATAGTAACATGGGATCCACTAGTGGATTTTACAGAAGAACGGAAGAACCAGGCTCCTTTGTTCCAAGAACGAGGCCACCTTTGCTTCACTCAGACGATCCGTCGGCGCTGACCTGCCAGGCTCGCCGACGGCGCTGGACCTGGCCAGCAATGTGACGGTGACACGCTCGCTACGGCGGGTCAGGAGCTTGAGGCAATGGGAGGATGGAGCAAGGAAGACAAGGTGTAGCAAGGGATGTGTGATGTGCAAGGTGTAGCACTTCATAGGAGTTGATTTAGTGCCGTTATGGATGAGTACTAAGTGGCAAAGTGACAAAATTAAAGTGACTAGGCCCAGGCCTCATTCTGGTGATTATTATGTTTGTATGTTATTTCTATGTTTGTTCCAATACAATAATGGTGTTGGTCCCATGACCTGTAACAGTCGCCAAACGATTATAAATATATATAAATATACACATTATTATATGACTACTTATGATATGTTTTTGATAAAGGCCTTCACTAAGCATCATCCACTGTTGCAGGGAATGGTATGCACCCAATCTATTTATGTAATATGTGTATTTTCGCTCATCAAAGTCCTGCAATGCAAGGCTTCAGCTGAGTGTGATCCTCGCCAACTCGACTCGATCCGACCGTTTGGGCGCCCAGTCGACTCAGGCCCTGGCGGACAGGATGTCTTTGGTTGCATCCCTGGTCAGTCCACGAGTTTCTGGAGACCAGCTTTCGCCAGCGGGAGCCCCTTTGCTTACAGCGAGGCAAACATCCGCCGGGGAGGGTGTGAACAATGGACTCTTCGGAAAGTGTTGATGCCAAGGACTTTCAGTGCAAAGTTCAGGGTCTCATCATCGCTCAAGTCGTGTCCCGCTTGACGCCGCATGGGTGTCCAATCACCGACCGACTCGCGGGTAACGAATGAGAGTCCAACCAGAGGATCCAGTGTCCCTCCCACTGCAAAGTATCAACAGGGAGAAAAGCACCCAGCAACTGGGTGGTTATTGGAAATATCTATAAACCACCCAAACGCCCTGGGTGGTGCTGTATGTTACATGTTCCAGGGACTCAGGATTCCCCCGATTGGAGTTCCAGAGACAGAAAAGGGTGCCTTGACTTCGTTCTTTGCTTGACAGGTCCTCGACACCCTTTGCCCTTAAGTTCTTCCACCGCTGCCGACCTGCTCCACAGCTATCGTGCCTGGTCTAAGCTCGAAGCGCTCTGCAAAGCGCTTTGGAAAGCTCGAAGACGGTGTGGTTTCCAGCCAAGGCAACTGGTGTTGTTCAGGATGGCCTGACTTGAATCTCAGACCATTTGGAAACAAACGAGGCAGAACACTTGACGATTCTGCCAGCCAGCCAAGAACCAGTTTTGATCCAGTGGCTTGCATACCTGAACGTATATATAACTTATGGAAAGGAATTGTTCCATAGTGTTCCTTTGTCATCCAAGCACCCTATACACGATCTTTGTGAGTGATTCAGCTATACCTTCTATATCTCTGTTGTATCCGAACGCTCAAAGACATGTAACCAGGGCTGAGGTCCTTCACTTGGACAGTTTCCCACAAGGTCCAGGTATATACCTCCGTCCTTCGGATGGCCTTTCACGGAGGTGAGTTCGTACGAAACCAGAGAATGGTCGTTGCCGATCTGGGACCGTTCAGGACCTTCTAGCAACGGATGGTCCTGGACCCTTAGGGTGTGTGTTGGAATCCATCCAACGCGGCCGTTGCTTCACCGACTCGAGGCATGGGCATTAATGCTCACGTGGTGGAAAGGCACGGTGCTTGAAGGGTTTGGGCCTATGAATTGACCACGTGAGACCAAGGACCTTCCGGGTGACCTGTGATCTGGATCCCAGCTTTCTTCAGATCTGGAAGATTTGGAGGTGCTCACATCCGGCCTCAGCACCCAAATTGGAAAGGTGTTCAACTCCGGTGGTTGCATCATTGGTCTTCCAAGTGTGAGCCGTACTGGTGCCTTGGGACAGGCTTGCGTAGACTGTAGGCGGAGGCACTTGTTTGCGTAGGGTTGTTGTGTAGGTTTGTTTTTGGAGTGCATGTTCTTGAGAAACCTTGTCCAAGCATGTCGGCTACAGCTAGTCACTGGACCACCTCGCTTGAAAACCGAGTAGAACGGAATTCCAACTGATCAGCTATTTCTTGACTTACAACAGCCATCAACAGGCTCTTTTTAGGCTCAGCATATATGGCACCGTGTAGGAACAAGAGTTCATGTTCAACCAGTAGCCCACACCCCACCCTGGTTAAGGCCCAAGTGTTTGGGTGGTATGATTTGGCAGCTAACAGTGGGCTGGCCAGCTTGGTGCCTTCCGTGGCGAGTGGCGACCTCTGCTTTGCTCGTGTTTGGTAGTGCGGGGGGGAACCGAACGATGTAACTTTCAGCCTCGAGTTCATGGTCATTTCCATGGACCACTTCAGCGAGTGGAAGCAAAGAGCAACTAGAATAGACAATCGCTAAGAATGCTCGCCATAGCATCTGCTCGTGCATGGCGTAGACTATGCGTAGGCAACCTTCTGCATGACATAGACTATGCGTAGGCTAGTGCGTTGGACCTCTTGTAGTCTACAAGCTCCATGCACCCAGGATAATATTCTTCAATTGGGTTCAATTACAGTATATGGATCAACATGAGCAGAAAAGAACAAGGCACCTGCCACCCTAAGGGGTCTCTATCAATAGCCCCTTTTAGAGATTAAAGGGTGTAAACAATGAACTTGACAATTTCTGGTGTATACTCTTTGAATCTCTTTGATCCATATAGAATACCAAAAGAGGTTGAAGAACCCTATAGACTATATAGGTACCCCAGTAATGTCCTATAATCAAGATCACTTAACCTCTCTTGGTAACCCTCCGTTTCGATGCTTCAGTCGCTTCGACTAGCCTCGACTCTTCGAACCAGTCGCGGGCAGCCCAAACGGGGCCAAGCAGTGCCGCACCTGGGCCTCAAGCCGTTGCAGGTCTTGGCTTCTTGGCAACGAAAGCTCCGTCCCATTAAAACCCACCCATAGGGTCCAGGTACCTCCGTTTCGGATGGTCTTGGAGGTGAGTACGTACTTCCAGAGAATGGTCGAACGGGGGGTCAAAGGACATCCGAGCAACGGATGGTCCTGGACGCTTAGGGCCATGAACGTGGTGTTTGGGGACAGACTGGGCTCGCCCGTCCCAGGCCATGGGCCACGCCGTGCGCCTGGAGCGCTTGGAGCTGCGGCGCGCTTCGTCGCTCCGGCGCTCGTCGCTCTGGCGGAGCCTCGAGGCCGTGGCGCCAGGCGCGGCGCGGCGCGACGGCGCTGGGGGTTGCCTCTCAGGTTCCAAGAGAGGTATCCAGTGACCTGAACTAGGACCTGTCACCTGGGGTACCCTGGGATAGTCGAACGTTCGGGTTCTGACCCACCTCTGGTGATTGCTCTTCGCCTCTGAAGGTCGCTTGAGCCTGATTTCAGGGTCACCATTCAAGAAACTGGACCCGGTGTTCTGTGGCATGTGTTTACTCCATCCTGTTTGGGCGTCCTGTTTGCAGATCCCTTAGAAGTAGTGTAGGACACTGTAGGGTAGTCCAGCCACGGTAGCCTGTGAGAGGAAGGTCCTGGTAGCCGCTGCCAAGTGTTTGGACGTGTTTGGGTCTTTTGGTCCTTCCCCCTTGTCCTTCCCCAGACACTCCATGGACTGCAATACATGGAATGTTTGCTTCCAGGCCCCCGCAAACCATCCGAAAGCTGGTTTTCCCCGGCAAACTTCATGGTTTTTGTATGTGAAAAATCTTGTTTTTTGGGGGGGCCACTGGTGGGTTCTAGAAGCTTTCCCCTGACAGGCCCGGAACGCTCGCCCAGTTTGTCACTCACCTGGGCGCCACCGATGGTCTCCTCGTGTCCGGGCGGGAGGGGAGTGACATGGTTTTGCTTAGCGACTTTCAGTGCGCCCTCCCTCTCTGGAGTCTCTGTTCCCAGACACTCCATGTATGCCATATATGCCTACATTGACCCCCCAAACCACCCCAATGTAGGTAAATATGCCATACATGGAGTGTCTGGGGCTTGTGACCTCTTTATGGACTGTTAGTGACCTGACTCATTCTGGGAGCTCGGTCGCTCGGTCACCAACTGAAGGTCCTGGAGGGTTATGTTGATTGTGCCTATGAGTCTGAGTGAATCCCCTTCTGCCCAGAAGTGGGACTTGAATCCTTTGGAGGGATCGACACCTCAATGTCCCTCATATGGAGGTCTTTGTTGCGGAACCAATCCCTATGTAGCGTTTGAGGGCACGGTTTCCTTTGCGCCACCAATTGCACTTGGTTGCGGAAGAGTTTCTACACTCGTGTGGAACAAGGCTGCCTACATGGAGACGCCTCAAAACCAATTCCTCAAATCGTGGGATCGTGGGTCTCCGTTGGTCAGCCAATCCAAGGTGAGCACGAACTCGACCTCGCACCAGTTGCATTTGCAGCTCTTTGGGGCGCCGTGGTTCAGCGAGCTGAGAAGGGGGGGCCGTTCTTGGAAGCCTTTTGGGGGCTCGCACGGGTCACACGACTGCTCGCAGGGTTCCAATCTCTACTCTACCCCCCTTTAGTTGGTCGGTTCTTGGAACGGCGGATCGAAGACCCGCGGTTTTGGGTGATGGGTCCGGTGCCATGGGTCCGGTTAAGACGAAACCCTCCGCTGGTGACCAAACTGGTGACCTGGGCACTTGAGGTCCGGAAGTTCGGTCGGAAGTTCGGTTTGCCTGGCACTCCAGTGGGTTCGGTTATAAGACGAAGACGCTGAGTTCTTCGTCGAGTTCTTCGTCGGGGGTGTGTTCTACTTTTGACTTTAGGTCGACGCGAATACGCAAGAGACGATGCCCACACATGTGGGCTGGGGGAAGAAAGTCGCCGAGTAGCTTGTGTTTTTTTTGTGAATTGTTTCCACGATGTTTGAGGCCATGGCTATTAGGTTGGATGGAGGCCATCGCTACTAGGTTGAAGGCCATTGCTACGTAAGGGTGGAGCCCATTCCTATTTGCTTGGAGCCCATTCGCCATTTTGTGATGTTGAAGTTCCTTTGTTGTAAAAGAGACCTCAGGACCCGGTCTTCGCCAGGTTCGCACGTCTTGCACCGACTACTCCAGGGCCCGCAGCACAATGAAGACTTGAACGGTTCATTCCACCATGCTTTCCCCTAAGAGCCAAGACAAAACAGGGCTGGGGGGGGCTGTTCATCACCAGCGGATTCTCGGAGACGCGAAGTTTCCAAGCACTGAAGGCCCGTCGCTGGACCCTTTGTGCCACCTCGCCGACGCCTGCGCGTGAGACATGGGAGTGCCAGCATGTGACGTTGCGCAGGGGAGATTTGCTCTATGTGCCGCCAGGTGGGGTACTGCAAAGGTCGAAGACGAAGCTGCTGGTGGAGTCATCGGTGAAAGAACCTGCTGGTGCATGCCATGGTGCTTTCTCTACAACCGGCCGACCCACCGGACCCTGCACGGGATGGACATGACCGTCGAGCCCCTAACATAGACTATGACGTACTTGATAATGACTGTGACTACCTGGACCTTCTTTCGGGGTGTCCTGTCTGGAGGTCCCTTAGTGGTGGGCTGGGGCGAAACCAGCCAGGTGACCCCTTTGATGGTGCTGGTATGACTAGATTACACTCGAAGATGGAGTGTAGACTGGACTGGTCCGGACGCAGCTGAATGTTGTTGAGCATAACAGGTTCGAGCGTCCTCAACTTCGGATGCTTGTTCCTTCAGTATTTTCCAGGGGGGTCGTGCTTGGTCAGGGGCTTTGCTGCTCTTCGCCACCTTTGGGGGCATCGACCCCAGCAACATGTGCAGCCGGCTGAGGGCTCCGCCACTACGCTTCAGCGGGCGCGGCCCTCTCGGCACATTTGACGCTACAGCTGCAGCCGCTCACGCTGCATGAGCTTCTCAGCGCGGCGGGCGGCGGAGGCGGAGGCGGATGGTTTCGGAAACGGCTCCGGGTTCTCCGTGTTGTCAGAGTATAGTCAGTGGATGTCAGTGGAAAGCTCTTGGGATGACTGAAAGAGATGGTCTTTTGTATACGAAAGATCTTGAACACTGCCAATCAAGTGTTTGGACATTTTTAGTCACTCGTCGATTGACAAGATCACCTCAAACGTGGGTCGTAAAGCCTCTTCAGGCCTGAGCGGCCTGAGGGTTGAATATTGATCATCAAACATCTACGAATTAAGACCATGGACCATAATATGTTAAACAGAAGCGTGGTTTCTTGGCGCAAGAAATCCGCCCCCATCGGACTCCAAGCGTTGCAACTCGGGAGGCCTAAACATCCGCGCCGCGCCATCCTCCAGGCATCCGCCCCTCCTCTCTCCTCGCGGAGCCCTTGCCCTTGTGGCGGAACGCCAACGCCACGTGCCTGGCGGAGATGTGTCCCTCAGTCAGAGGTGAAGTCACCGGCGACCGTGGCGACCGTGGTGACCGGTGAAGAGACATCGACATGACAGGCAGAGATAAACCTCTAATATCACCCAGACACTCCATGTATTCCATATATGCCTACATTGACCGTCAAAACCACCCCAATGTAGGCATAAATATGCCATACATGGAGTGTCTGGGTCAGAGGCTATTGATAGATCACCGGGTGGCCTGGTCGTTTGACTTTGGGTTGGATCCCAGGCAGTTTCGAACGGAACGTGTCGTTTTGGACAGGCACAAGGGACCTGAGGACGGGAGAGCATCCAGTTCGGTCACTTGGAAGAATCGGGAGAGCATCCACCTACCCAGGACAAGTGGACAACATCTAGAGGAGAAAAGAACACGTGGTGCCAGGTGGTGACACCCCACAAGGCCGATACAACAGGTGGAATCCAATAGGAAGAAGATTTCGCTGCATTCGGGGGACATTTCTTTCTATCCGGTTCTCATATTGGTTCTCTTTCTCGAGGTTCCCCAACCCCAAGGTCACTGCTGGCTGAACGGACATCAGAGTATTTTCTCCTCTCAATCATGTCGCACCGTTTGGTAGCGGCCTAAGATCTCAGAGTTTTGAAAGGGCCATTCAGGGCCAAGGCCATCAAAGCCTAAAGTTCCAAGCATCAAAAATTGAATCCACTCGCCACCACTGTTTGCTTTAAGGTGGCCACAGATTCAGCCGACAACCAAAGTGGGAGCTTGCAGCTGCGTCTCAAAAACAACACAACAACATGACATTCGCGAAACAGATTTGTTGGTTTCCGAAACATAAAAGGATTTCTCTCTCAAAGTTCACGGACTGCAGCTTTCAGCTCAGTCACCATTGGAAAATGCTGTCACACTAATCGCAAAACCTCACCTTCATTCAATGTCAGATTTTCCTTCGCGAAATAAAGTGGCTTTCCTGAGATACCAAGCAAGAGTCGAGCAACACAAAATCTGCCTTTTGCAACAAACCCTTAACCGCATAACACTAAGTGCAGGGAAGCATCGAGGTGTTATCTCCTTACTAAGAGAACGAACAAAGAGCCAAAAGCCTAGAGGTTTCTTGTGTTTCGGAACGGTCAAACCAAACGCAGCAGCTAGTGAAACCGGTGGCAGGAAAATCCAACTCTTCATAACTGAGAAGCGTTTGACTCCTTCACATATGCTACTCGCCATACCCGCGCCAAAGTGCGAGTAGCACTCAGTTCCTGGGAGCAGCTAAGTTCAAATGCTGTGTGGAGTAGATAGTAGACAATCAAATGAATGACTGGCCAAACTGTTCCCCAATTGAATGTAGGGCAAAGGACTGCATCTGTAAAGAAAGAAGCGACATTGGTGTACTTCATGGCAGTCACTGTGTTCCATTGATAAGTCACCGCAGAAGCCTTTGGCTTGATAAGATATGCACCTCATTCAAACGGACACCTGTAAAGGATCAGGTCATCCTCACATCAAAACAGTCTAAACTTATTCCAAAAAGTGTTTCCATTGTTTCCATCCACATATTGGGTCCATGACCAGTGCCAGAGTCGTTCGGAGATGGTCGTCGTAATTCGTGACCGTTCACAGTGGCATCAATGATACCTTCATCCTCAAGTTCAGTCAACAATGCCCGTAGCGAACATTTTTCAGAGTCCACTGTGGCTTTGGATCCACTCTCTGGCACTTCTAAAATCACAGGGATTGATTCTTTGTCCAGAGTGAAGGTCGTCAATCTGGCAAGATCGCCTGTCCAAAATTCAACCAGTTAAATGGACTCGGACCACGTTTTGGGGCTAGCTGGGCTCAAGTAGGGGCAAACGTACAGAATCAGAACTGGCGTCACAATCCGTGGACGTAGAGCTCAAAGTTATTTTCCCACATATGGCAGATTGTTTTGTTGTCCGGAATTTCCATCCTCAAACCTCTAAGCTACACAGGTAGCGGAACAAAATGGTGCTACAGGTCCTGGGCTGCACACCAAACCCCAGGGAATCATGACAACATGATTCGCAGATATTCGCCAGTTCATGGCTCAAGAAGTGTTTTAGTCCTCCTTGGGACCCACCCAACGTCGGCGACTCAGCTCACTGTGAGACATATTCTTCATGGCCATCTTCTTCGCAGGGTGCCCTTCCCACCTTGGGTAACGAAACAAAATGGTGAGACAACCCAATTGTTAATCACGTTATTCATGCTTGTGGTGGACATTGCCATTAAGACACATGATGAGATTTAATCGAAAGAGTGAGGCTAGGACTCAGATTGGGCTTTTCTCAAAGCCTCCCTCTTCGTTAACTCAGGGTTCTCCTGCAGGATACGCTCCTTCGCCTCGTTGATGTGCTTCCAATAGATGGTCTTAAGGTTGGCGCCAGTCTCCGGTTCATCCTGGCAACAAAAAACATGAACCTTGAACTTGGACCAACACTTGGATACTGTACCTAGTGCAGAACTTTTCCATTGGAGGTCTTCAGCTGTAAGTATTCTTGTTACACGACGTTGTTTAAAGGAGCCCGCGTTGAGTTTAAAATAAGTGTGGCCCAAATTGAATCAAACACTGAGCGCCTGGGCGGCAGGTTTCTTTGCACGAGTCTTTTTCTGCTCGGGCTTGGACTTCTGGTCCTGGCGTACCGACATGTTGTTGGTTGATATCATTGAGCTGATTTATGACCCTAAGCTGAACTGGTTGCAACAGCACAACACTGGATCGTTCTAATTGTCCTTCTCGCTCGTTTTTACTTTGTCTGCGAGGACCTTGCCAATCCTTGAGGTAGGCTTCTCCTAGCTGGTTTGTATCAATGAGAAGTCAATTTTCAATAGGGTCACAAGTGTGTATGTTTCATAAGATAGTAAGAATCCTTGGTATAAGTATATAATGCGACGCGGTCCTTGCTTTTGGTAGCCTTCGCTTGGTTCCCAAACTCAGCCTCCTGGAACATGGCTCTATTGTTTGACAGTTACTGTTCAAAGGAACTCAGTCCTTCCCATGGCCAGCTCCTTGCTCCTCCTCGCTACCAAAAGCGTGAAAGGTTCCAAAGAGAATGTTACCAAAGAGAAGGTTCCAAAGAGAATGTTAAGATGGTATTGTCACTCCTCCTCACCCTCCTCATACTCGTCGGTCTCTTCCTCTGAGAGTTCCTCTTCGGAATCAAGACTGTCTCCTTCCTCCTCCATGTCCCCATCCTCCTCCCTCTCATCCTCTTTCTTTGAACCTTTCCCTGTCCCTGCCTTGGTAGACCTGGGAACCTTTTTGGACTTAGAACCTTTGCCACCCTTGTCCTTTCCTTTCTTGCCTCCCTTGCTTTTGCCTTTACCTTTCCCCCCCCTGCCACGACCACGTCCCTTGGTAGACTTCTCATGGTCAGCGTGGAAAGCTTTTCGGCGAACAGCGCTAACCTTTCTAGCTGCTTCATCCAACTCATTCTGCAATTTCTTCTTTGCTTCAGCATCCATAGTTCTATCGTTTGCATTGGTGAGTCCAACTGTCGTCATAGGCAACTCGGGTTTCAATGTCTTGCTGTTTGATGCAGACAAAGACTGTTCAGGGCCCCGGCGTCTCTTCTGTGCCTGACAACTGTGTCGAAAGAGCAGAGCCCGGAATGCAGAGTTGAATAAGTCAAGAGAATGTCTCATAGAACAACTCCCATGCATGAGGTACCTCAATCCGGAGGACTTGCGTAGTATGAATTTAAACTCACACCCCATGCATATTGTACTATATATCAAGGTTCTCTGTGTGTGTCATACCTATCACACCTGGACTGACTGGCAAAGCACATCACCGCTGGCGACGAGGCCTGCCTGCGTTTCTACGGATTGATTTGCAGCACTTGCAGAAGAGGACGGCGTTGGGGCCTGGGGTGATAAGGTACTAATGATTGAACTTTAAAGGGGAAAGCTGAGCGTCAAACCTCGACACGAGGCGATGGGGTCACGATGTTTGCTGGGCTCTCGTTGGCCATCCCATCAAAGTCCTGCGGGACATAGTGAAACACCCAGCTTTGGGGATAAAGAAAAATAGGTCAGACATATTGAAAGAAGTTGGCAGCTGATAGCTGAACCCTCCTTTCCTGGTCAAAGCCATACTTAGCTAAAAGGTGTTCCAGGGGACCCGGAGTGGAAGCCATGCGTAGCAAAGAATGCGGCAAAGGCGCCCGGAAAGGCAACGATCAGTGATTGAGCCAACTTGCATCAGCGACAAGACCCGGTTGAACAATTCGCAAAGTTGAGACCATGAGTTGAGCCACAAACAAACTGCTCTTGTTCCTAGTATTGTTGATGCCATTGAGAGTGTGCTTGATCCTGCCTACACGCTTCTGGCGCCGAAACTTGTCAACCTGCTCAGCACTCAACCACTTCGAAGGGCCATGAGCAATTAGAAACTCATTGGTGGTGAGCTCGACGGTTGTGTGTGCCACCTGGCACGACGCTGAAAGTAAGACGGCCTAATCCTATACCTGGTGACAGCTTTGACTGAAAGCCAAATTGAATACATCAGTCAAGTAACCAAATACAATTTGTATTCTTGGTCCCCTTGAACATCCACTCGTTGCCCATCTCTCTTGGACGCATGAACCAAGTACAAAGATGTCCCCGCCACACGTCCTGAACATTTCATCTCCAAGTTGTATTGATCCTGGAGTTGGTCCAGGGATGCGGGTTCATTGGGCCAGGGGTCATATGCAGGAGCAGGAGCGACGGACTCATCATCGACCTCGACGATGGCCCCGCCGGCTATGGACCCAGCTTCCGTGGATTTGGCAAACCTGGGATTGGACCCTGCCAGAAGTTTTAATCAGTTGGTTGAGAACTGAACTTCTATATTGGGCATGATTACCACGACAAAACAGTTTCTCTGTAATGGGACGATCATGAACAATCACCCTTTCAACAAAAGATCCTTTTGGATGGGGAGCGTGGTTGCCCAGAAACTGTGGGTCAAAGTGATGGTCAAAGTCATCCAAAAGCTTTCGCCACTCCGGTCCGTAGGTGGGGTCTTCCAGCCAACGACTGCGACTCTCCGAAGGGAGCCTGATGGTGAATCGCTCCCAAGACTTTTTCTTTGGGTCTTCGGTCAGCTTAACAATGGACAGCTCATAGTTGGACAATTGGAAGGTCTCAGGCTCAGGAGGAGGTCTGGGATCGTAAACAGGGACGTCGCCCATGTTGTGCTGTCCCTCTTTCCACTCCTATAGCAATGGTTTGCGCAGCAATGATTTGTTGCTTGCTGGTCATACGTCGTAACAACTTCCTTAAAACAACATGTGTTTGATGTCCTTGAGCAGTTGCAAGGCCATCGTTCGGGCACAGTAGTCGGAGATGTTTGTCCGCGAAGACAGTGACAAGCTTTTGATGCGAACATCTTTGCTATGCTCTCCATTCCATGTCAAGGCAACCTGCTCTAAGCAACAATCGTAGGAAGTGAGGTTGCATAGCAGGATCGTGCTGCCACTCGCGACCTCTGACTGTGCAAGAACACCGCCAAGTAGAAGCTGAGGAAGGGTAGGGCCGGACAAATATTGTGCAGATTCTTGAACGTCAGAAAGAGATCTGTCAGGGGTGACGAACAATGTCATCATTTCAATAGTTCTTAAACAAGAAATAGCAAAAGATGCCCAACAACCCCAAAGCATATTTTGCCTGGTCCCCTCGCTCGCGTGAGGGAGTGCATCCTTCTCAGCGTGTGGGACCACATATGCGCATTCCCGCGCCCAAGGTACATCCTGCTTTGTACTCCTGCCAGGACAGCCCGGGCCGAAGCTGGACGTTTTTGTCCGTTATAACCATGAGAGAGTGAAGTCCACCAAAAACTTGTTTAAGTGATTGTAGGTCGGTCCAGTTTATAGTACTCTGTCAAGTAGTTTGTGATTATAGGTCTAGTTCTAGTAAGGGTGACCTTCACGGATATCCTTAACAGTTGATAATTCGATTGAATGTCTGAGATGGCTGGAAGAAACGTGAGTCCTGTCAGCCATCAACTGACAACTGCGGAATACGTTCTCTTCCATGCCAGCTTCTGAGATAGCAATCCATCCAGGAAACACCAGGGGCACTTTTTTCGTTGCAGGTCTGTCGCCGCAACGAATGGAGATAGAGGTCGATACGATCTTCTTGCAATCCAGCTTGTCCTCCAGTCTTTGTACCTCTCCTCGTAGTCCATTGCTGACTTTCTCGCTGATCAAGAACGGTGCGATGATGATCGCACAAGAAGCCGTGGGGCGGCTGTGAAGGGCAACGCCCAAAAGGTCCACTAGGTTGTTCAACTCTTGCTGCCCCACTCGTCCAATCTTCATCAGGTCCACCCACATCACAATGGGACGTGCGTCATTCTCTCGAATGAACTGCGGCAAACGTTAGGGGAGTCAATGCCAAACAACTTTTAAACAGTATACTGGAATGTTCCAGGATAATTGTACTGAAAATTGGTGACCCCATACAAGGAACCTAGCAAGAATGAACCCTTTCATGTTGTGGGAAAGGTTACAACTTAGTAATGCAGCAAGTTGTGATGCAAAATTTGTCCCATAAGGCCTTGTTGAGAGAAGATTCCAAATCCTTTTGATTGCCGCTCACGAAGGCACAGTTCTGCTCCATGAAGTTGGTAATGATGCCAGATCCCACCACATTCTGCTGCCGTAGGTGGCAAATCTTTTGCAACCGTTTGGCTGCATCACTCTTGACTGTGTCTGCGTGAAGTCGACTGAGCATCGCAATATCGCGTGCTAGCTTCATGCAATCCGATTCCCAAAGGGCCTTGCGAGCTTCATTCCCCAACTGCTGGATTTGCGAATCAGCAGTTGCTATTTGACTCTTGTTGGTCTTTTCCACTACCTTGGGCTCGTTCTCGGACCACATTGAACAGCATTCGTGCGACCACATCGGCTCCATGCAGAACAAGATGGTGTTTGCTTCGTCGTTGTAGTCCCTGAAATGCGTCCAAATCAGGTGTCATTCGGTGTTGAAACGGGACTATTATCAAGTAAAGTAAACTTAAAGTAAAGTAAAGTAAACTATAGTAGCCAGGTGGCCCCTCTAGAATGTTGTTCTTCAGCTTTTTGAGCAGCTCACGATCAAAAAGAGCTTTGCCATCACGGCAGACTGCTGACTGCATCTTCTCCCAAACGTGGACAAGCAACGTAATACGCTGACACTCTGCTTGCCAATCCTGCACGGTGAGTCGAGCCGCACTTGCTTTGGCTCCCCGACGAGAAGCAAGGGAATGCAAAGCCAGCACCCTCTCAATGAAGATTGCTTGCTTGCTTGGAGTAACATACAGGATATCAGCCCACAAGTGTGATCCTCCGACATCCTTGCACACCGCACCAACCAGCCAGTGCTCATTGGAGAGCACAGCATTCGACAAGGCTGCAGGGTCAGCGCTTTTCTAGAATCTAGTTACTAGTTCAAACGGGGTGTGATACATTGAGCCTGGTTCCAACTTAAAGAACAGGAATTGGAATCTTCTTCAGGTGAAAGCCCTTAAAGTAGAGCAGGTGTGGATAGGACTTGGGATACTCCTGTTGCTTTTGCAAGCCCCCTGCCTGAATGCTCAAAGCGGTACTGGTGCAGGTGTCGCTCCAACTGCTTCCAAGAGTCAGCAGCCACTCCAACCTGCGGGCCACCCACCAGGTCTCATGTTTTGTAGCACCAAGAGAGACAAACAAATCTGGTTGGCAATTGTTAAGTTTGTGCCCTCCTAATAGATGATGAAGTCAGTCATGGTCCGGTCGGCTCGGGAAACGAAACACACTGGGCACCTTGAAGCCATACATGGTTGTACAGCTTGCAGCGTCTATCCTGAACTTTTTGTTGGTCGAAGCTACGCCGATGTCGTTGTACTCTGCAACAGCAGCCTCGAATGCCAACTTCCAGTCATCCCCATATTTGTTGCGATCCTGCGGGCTAAGCTAACCAGCAGAGGTTCAAAAACCACAAAATTGTAAGTGTTCCTTCCGTCTATCAATTGCTATGTTGCAGCCTCGGGACCTCTGTTGGAACTGAGTTCTTTAAGTTCAGACCCCACATGCTGTTGACATACCAAAGAAGGTTATAGGACATAAGGGTTCCATTTCATTGCTCATGGAGACTGCTTTCATGCCCTGTCAAATCCTGTGAACATTGTGAATGAACACTTTGGGGATACCAGGGTCCTCCCGCTGTAGTGCATCAGCGCGCGCAGCAAAAATCATTGTCTTCTGCAACATGTTTTTTCGCTGGCGTTCGGATTGTTGTTCATGTACTTGCAGCTTGCGAAAGTCGTAGAGGCCCTCTTCCATGGGTTTCACAACCACTGCTTGAACACTTTGAGCAGTCTTCATCCACCTTCCGGGGCCGACAAAGTCACCATATCTTTTGGGGGGGATCTGGACCTGGTATATGATTTGGGAGGAGCATTGCCAACGGATGACAGCCTTTGAGACTGGCAAGGAGGGATTGAGGGAGAGTTCGGGGGAGGTGTGGGCTTCAGTGATCTCAAGAAACCCAAAAAACTGTGATTAGATTATGTCTGAGTCTGACAGACCATTCATTCCGCGATATCGTAAAGGCGACGGTTTGGGGTCCCGCGATATCCCAAAGGCGACGGTTCCACTGATACCATCACCTTTGATCATAGTTGGGTGAATGAAAGGGTCACCTTTGACAATCTTGGGAATGACCAGCTGCAAAGGCGACGGTTCCAACCAAACCATCACCTTTGGGATATTGTGCGGCGTTCCCTGTTGATTCCAGCCCAGCCCTGGACTAATGGCCCCTCACAAAATTTGTAATGCATCAGGGCCTGACAGATGCTGACAGTAGGTTGGCCTTCAGTACCCCATCCAAATTCTTAGCCTCAGGGACTTCCCAGCATATGCCAAGAGGCGACGGTTTCAACCAAACCATCACCTTTGACATGTTTGATTCCCACGAATACCAAAGGCGACCCTTTGATATGGGGGGGCGCCTTTGGAAGTCTTCAAGCTCCTCCTTGCTCAGAGAATCCCGCAGCTTCACATAGGTCCACAACAAACCAAAGAAAAGGATGGAGACCTTCCCCAATCCTTTCACCGGCACAAGAGAGGCAAACTCCAGTGCGCTTCCCCCACTGCCACAGTACTTCACTTCCACAGACTCCCTAAACTTCTCGAATCCATGGCTATAGATGTCCATCGCATTGCTGACCCAGTCTGGAAGAAGCGGCAGACCGTCGCTGCCTCGCTGGTACTGCAACGACACGAGGGGAATTGGAACTGCGCATTCGTTGACCAGAAGTGCCTCGTGCTCGGAGGGCGGTGGCTGGATCAGGAGGTTGGAGAGGGTTTAATAGGCTGAACTGCTGAGCCAACCCAAAAAAGTCGCTGATGAAAACAAGACACAATTGCGAACCTGCTTGGGTTCTGGAAGGCGCCCCCATTCTCGTTCAACCATGTCATGAGAGGCTCATAGATCCCAGGGTTCAAATGCGAGAGAAGGAACTGAACTGGGTGTTGGTCCTTTTCAGGCTTGAACGTCCTCAGACACGAATTCAGTTGAAAGATATAATAAGTAGAAACAATGATTTTAACATGTTTGCAACCAATGGACTCAATGCTGTTCATCATTTTGTCCACCCATGG